TGTATAATGGTTTGTGGACCAGTGTATAATGGTTTGTGGACCAGTGTGTAATGGTTTGTGGACCAGTGTGTAATGTGCCGTATGCGGTACACTGGTTGACTTTTTTTTCAGCATATGTATGCTCCCTAAAAGCTGACTGAACAGTTTCACTCTCCTTCTCTCTCAGCAAGCTCAGCTGGTGATTGAGCAGCACTTGTCCATCCTGGATACCGAGGACTGGGGCAATGGGCTGCTGTGTGCTGGTGTTTGGCCTGATGGCCTCCCCTCAGCTCTTCTCTCCACAGAGGATTCCTGCTTCTCCTCTGTCCTTCGAGATGGACAGGTCCTCTTGTTTTGCCTCAACTCTCTTAGCCTGCAGGGCAACCGGTAAGACACACAAAAAGTCTTCAGTAGATAGTTGATACACGAACACGTTGATTAAAACCATTCCATTTCTTCAGTAGTTATGGCCTGGTGCTTGAAGGCAGAAAAGGTTATACATCTCAAATGTGACAGCCTTTGTAGCTCTTAGATTGATTAGACTGTCTTACATTTGGTTTGAGTCTAATCTCCTTAATGACAGTTATGTCATTAAGGAGATCCTCCTTAAAGAGTTCCTCCAGGACCAGGGTTCCTAACCCTGGTCCTGGAGGAACACAATCCTGCATGTTTTAGTTATCTCCCTACTTTGACACACCTGATTTATTTTAAATAAAAATTCCATGCCAATCTTGTGACTCATCCATCAATAAGCCAATTGTGTGTCATGTCCAATCTTATTTTGAAAAACCGTGATAGAGCGAATCTGCAAAAAATGAACCGTAAAGTAGCGCGGGACTAGTACATCCAGTGATTATGTCTTGAAGTTTTCATTAGTATTCATCCAGGGATTGGAGAGAAATTTTGCTAATGGACAGTTGCACACAGAGACAGGTTGTTACTACAACGCTAAGTTTAGTTAGCTTAGCATCTGCTTTCTGATCATCCGTATTACAAAATGGGGCTCTCACAGTCAGAATGCCAACATTTTAGTTATTTTTTTATACTTTGGTAAAATATATATTTAAAAATATATATTTTTTATCTTAATGTGTGGCTTTAGATATTTGTGATGACACACACTTTCTTCATACAGGAATCGTCCCTTGGTCCTGAAGGACCTTCAGCGGGCCTTGCAGAGCAGCGGTGTACTGGAGGACCTGGTGTTTCCTGAAGCAGTGGTGGCTCCAGAGGACAAAGACGCTCTGAGACTTGTCCCCACGGCCGTGAGACTGGTGACAGAGAGAGCCTCTCATGGAGACTGGATCCTACGCACCAACTGGCTCTCACATCTGGTGAAGAGTCACAAATATGCACCTGGTCTGTTGCACTAGTTATAATGACACATTTGGGTTTACAGACCTTTAACCCAGCACTAAACAAAATAATATAAAACATGTATGTGTGTGTGTGTGTGTATATATATATGTGTTTGTTTCAGATACAGCTCTGGTCCATATGGAGGCAGGAAACAGTGCTTTATCGGCAGTGTTCGGTAGCAAACTCTCCACTAAAGGAAAGTCACTCACAGCGTTGCTCCAGCCTCAAAGCTCAGGTAAATGTTCTGTTGACTCTTGATGGAACCAGTGGGGGGAAGGGGGTTTAAAACTTCACTATAACTTATATAAAGAGTGAAGAGTGGAGGCAACATGTAACTCCATCAGACACTGTTGTTACATACAGCTGCATTTCACAAGTGGGTGTTAATGGAGATCAAAATAAATAAAGGCCCAGCATTCCTTGAAGGAATCCATATCACCTGCCACCTTTCATGCCAAGGTTACAACAAAGATAGGTACCAGACATTGGTCTTCACACTGAGGTATGAACCAAACTGTGACCTACACACCGAGGTATGTAGCAAGCTATGAATCTCTTGTCAAAGCGTGTATCAATTCAACTTGGCTTGCTTATATAGCGCCTATTTAAAACAAAAATCATCTCAGCACACTACATAAAATGCCAATCTGTAAAAGTTACTTTTCTAAGAAAGCCAGCAGACTGTGTCAGATCTTCACTTGAGTGCAATTTCCTATCCTGAGCAGCACGTCGGCAACAGTGGAAAGAAACGATGCCCTTTTAACAGGAAGAGACATCCAGCAGAACCAGGCTCAGGACAGGCATCCATCGGCCTCAACTAGCTGGAGCTAGAGAGGACAGGAAAGAGACACAAACACAGTAAAAACATTTAGAGTAGAGCGAGTAAAGACAACTGGCGAATCTCTCAGGAACTGTGGTAGGGCTGCACAACATTAGAAAAGCTTGAAATGTGCAGTGTATTCCAATGACTATATTCGTTGAGACAAATACACATTTCTCCACTCTTCACTTTCTCTTCTGCCATCACGATCATCTAAATCAGGTGTGGACATAAAAGCCAGTGAACGTTTGTTGGAGTGACCAAAATTATGATTAGTGTGCAGAACGTAAAAGCATGATATTGTAATTTCTGGACTATTGAGCACACCTGAATATAAGCCGCGTCCACTAAATTTGAAATAAATAAATAAATTTGTACATACCAGTATATAGGCCGCACTTGTGTATAAGTCGTGGGTGTCCACATTGTAACATGAGATATTTACACAGAAATATTTTTTAAACTTTTAATTAAATATGTACCAGTGACACACAAATACGTGCAGTAAAGGTTTTTTTTCTGAACAGTGCCTGTAACACAGCTGTTTAAAATATACTGTAGCCTACCAGGAAGTCTGATCGCTATCTTCATCTTTCTCCTGCGCACTACGCCCCCCGCCCTGAACGCACAATGGTGAAGGGAGGAGAGAACAGGAGAATGGGAGGGACCAATGTTTCATTAGTCCACTGTGACCTGTTCTGTAATGTCATTGGTCAGATTTTTTTTTTTTTTTAACCTTTATTTATACAGGTAGTCTCATTAAATCATGACCCTCTTATTGAAGTATGAACCAAAACAGGACTTATGTGTACTGCTACATCCTTAATGAGTACATCAGTATGTTTTATGTGCCTTCACTATAAACAGACATTTAAGGACAAAAGTGAATTTACTGACATTAAAATAATACTGCCCATTAATATTCATATATATTTAGGATAATGTTTCTAATGGTCTTTCTTCCCTAACTGTATTTTTTGGGTTTTGATGGCTTGTATTTGTTTTGGGAAAGACTATCTGTGATATTGTCTTGTGACGTTGTTTGCCTTCGATTACAACTTGATGCATTTGATATTGGCAGATGAATTCAGGGTCATGTGGGATATGCGCTGGAACAAACAGTACCTGGATATTTTAGCAAGCAAGTGCAACTTTGAGAATGAAGAGCAGTACGTGGAGTTCCTGGAATCCATGAACGCAGTCGCCAACAGGTAGGAGAACTTCTGTTTATTTAGAGTCTGCAGAAGATCAGTTTGCAAGGACCTCTGTGTAAGACCACGTTTATTCAGTTATTTCAGTTTTTTAAATTTCAGTTCTGTTATTTTAATTTAAGCATGTTACGGGGTTTGGTAGCTTTGTTTCCTGTGGGATGAAGCTGTTCTGCGTCATGGTTGTTTGGACTCACTGGATGACAGTAGATTAAACATTGTTCACGAGGTGTGAGAGAGTTCACACACACAGGTGACCTTCTTTTTGTACTTTTCTTTGAAAATGGTCTACAAAAAAGGGAGAGAAACCTTCATGGCTCTCTCACACATTCTTACCACATGCTGTTAATTATATGGCAGTTTTCATACCAAGATGTGATGCAGCACCTCAGGACATGTTCACTGGTGGCTTGGTAAAAAGTTGGAGAGTAACTTTGACAAACTTCAGCCTCCTGAGAAGGTTTAGCTTCAGCTGAGTTGTTTTGCTCAGGTGTGTGCCCCATAATTGGGTTTGTCGAGTCGTGGAAGCAGGAAGTCCAGGAGGACGGGCCCAGACCTCCCTCTCCCTAGTGACACTTTCCAGCTCCTTCTGTTGATCCCAGTGTTGTCCCAGGCTGGAGAGAACGCATAATCCCATCAGTGGGTTCTGCCTCAGAAGAGACTTTCAGGTTGTTTTCACACCAGATAGTCCAGTAGACTCGGTTCGGTTTGGGACAAATATTCATGACATTTTGTTTACATTTGAGCTGGTGCGTTTGCATTCACTCTGCACTGTGCAGTCGAGTCAAACTGTTGAACCAACCTGTTCCCCGACTCGCCTGTGGGGGCGCTGCACCAAAAACTACTGAAAGAAACAACACAAAAACCTTTGAAGACACTTCTTCTTCTTCTTCTTCTTCTTCTTCTTCTTCTTCTTCTTCTTCTTCTTCTTCTTCTTCTGGAAATTAAAACGGAGTGGCATCAAATTTTAGCAGTTTTAGGAGTTATATTTTGTCATTTTTCATAAATGGACTCTGCATGAGCGGAAGATGAGGCAGAAAACCATGGAGAATATTGTTTTTCACACAAGTCAGCTGACGGCTCAATATGTGGTAAGAGAAATGCGTGTTTGTTTGCCCTGCGCTGTTCTCCACTTCTTGCTTCAAACTCCCTCTGTTCTTCTCCACAGTGGAACTCCTCCACACTTGAATGTCTTGCATCAAAAACATTTAGGTTTACTTCATTCCCTGTTCAATTCCAGTCCAGAAAACACTCATCTCAAAAACTACAAACATTTACTATTCAAATCCTTCAGTGACGGGGACACACCGCTTGTTTTTTCTTTTGTTTTGTTTACTCTTTTGTTTTGTATGTCGGCTGTACGTTCCCTGTTGCTTGGTCAAGCTTTGTTCTTGTAAAGGTTATAAAATCCTCTGATCTGAAGACGGCATGCCCAGCTCTCAACTTTCTCTAGACTTGTTCTGATATCATCTGGTTTTAACTGGTCCAAATGGTGAAGTTTTGATGACTCTGCACTTATCTACTCAGCTGCTGACAGATTCAGACAAATGCTGAGTCAGTGTCAGTGTTAGATGTTGTTCTTGTTGTGAACAGGATTCTATTCAAAGTTTGAGATAAAGTGCTGGTTTTTGTTTTGTGTGCTAGGACTGTGTTGAAGATGGACAGAGAGGAGAGGGCTGTCCTCTGCTCTCATGCTCTCAACATGGCCGCTCCGAGCTCTGCTCTGAGAACAGCTACAGCCTTCAGGAAAGGTACACACTCTTTGGCTCCCAACTTCCTACATCCACATGTGTGTTTTAACTAAAATCATTCCTCCTCTCTGTACAGGAGCTGTAGACATCAGTCAGCTACCGCATCCTGTCCTGATGCACCTGCTGACCTTCTTTGACCTTTGGGATGCGTTTGTTCTTCAGGCAGTGCAGACTGAAGGCCCCCATGTTTCAGACGCCATCCTGTTTGAGGTCAGGACTTTTTCTTAATCCTTCTTTGTTTACTGTTTGTTTACTGTTTACCTTGGATCAGTTACTGTTGTCATTAGTGGTGTCCTGATACCAGCATCAAGTACTCATACTTGTACTCATAAAAACACCCAGATGCTTCAAACTGATACCACTTTCAGTGATGTCACTTCTTATTCTAATTTTAATAAACACAGAAAAATGTCTAGAGATAGTTTAATATGAACACAGTTCATGTTAACATGGCAGATTGTTCACTGTTCTTAATAAAATAAATGTTTCTAAAATCATTGTGTAATTTTTAAGTATTAACTCTTTATCTAAAAAAGTTAAATCTAGTCCTCTAGACATTCAAAACACAAAACAAAGCAAAACAACAAAAAAATGTAGAAACGGTTCCTCTTTCATCCAAAAGACTTCCTCAGTCTGAGGTGATGTTTTCAGCTCAGAACTTTGTGGTTGCACCAAGTACAATTCCTTTGGTGGAGATGATCACAGCCACAGAATCAGCCATCCGCAACAACAAAATGAAAGAGGCTGAAGCAGAACAGCTCAGAATCAAAGTTTCATCCTGCATTAGCAATGCCAAACCACCACCTTCCAACATCAGTAGAGAGGAGAGGGACGCACTCACCACTCTTAGCAAGGACAAAAACATCATCATTCTCCCAGCAGACAAAGGAAGGTGCACAGTGATTTTGAACCAGAAAGACTATCACGAGAAAGTTATGACACTCCTTAGTGACTTAAACACATATGAACCTCTGAAAAGAGATCCAGGAAGTGGTTACAAGAAGAAGTTGATAGACTGCCTGAAAATTTTGGAGCAGGACAAGGCTATTGACCGTTTTCTGTACCACAGACTGTACCCAGGGGAGGCCACACCTAGTCTGTATGGTTTACCTAAAATCCACAAACAAGGTGTACCTTTAAGACCAATTGTTAGTATGATTAACTCTGTCACTTACAATGTTTCCAAATATCTGGCATCTGTACTCATCCCTTTAGTTGGCAGCTCAGAACATCACATACAGAACACCATGGACTTTGTGGATAAGGTGAGGGATGTCATCATGGAGACTGATGAAACAATGGTCTCTTTTGATGTCACATCACTCTTTACATGCATTCCTGTTGATGATGCAGTAGAGTTGGTCAGTTTAAGATTAAAATCAGACACCACTCTGAGCAGCAGGACCACGCTTTCCACAGAACAACTGTGTCAACTCTTGAAACTGTGCCTGCAGTCAACCTACTTCACATATGGGGAGCAATATTATAGGCAGAAACATGGGTGTGTTATGGGGTCTCCAGTTTCTCCTATTGTTGCCAACCTGTACATGGAGGAGGTAGAAAAGAGAGCCTTGACGTCCTTTTCAGGGACACCACCAAGTCATTGGTTCAGGTATGTTGACGACACCTGGGTTCAAATCAAATCTCAGGAAGTCCAACATTTTACTGACCACATCAACTCTGTGGATAAATACATCAAGTTCACACGAGAAGATGTAAAAAATGGCAGGTTGGCTTTCTTGGACTGTGAGGTCTCAGTCTCTGATAGAGGACATTTGCAAACTGAGGTGTACCGCAAACCCACCCACACAGACCAGTATTTGCAGTTTGACTCCCATCACCCTTTGGAGCACAAGTTAGGAGTCATCAGGACTCTGTATCACAGAGCAGACAACGTCCCCACTAGCTCAGGAGCCAGGCAGAAGGAGAAATCCCACACAAGACAGGCTCTAGAGCAATGTGGATATCCTAACTGGGCCTTCCTGAAAGCAGAGAAGAAACCCAAACAGGACTCCAGTCAGCCATCAGGTGAAAAGGAGGAACCCAGACCAGTGGTAATTCCATATGTTGAGGGAGTATCAGAGAAACTGAGACGTTTATTTTCTAAACACAATGTCCCAGTGGCTTTTAAACCCCAAAATACATTACGGCAAAGACTGGTTCATCCCAAAGATCCAGTCCCCCGGCACAAACAGAGTAATGTTGTGTATGCTGTTCAGTGTCAGGAGGGCTGTGATCAGTCTTACATCAGGGAAACTAAACAGCCACTGGCCAAAAGGATGGCCCAGGACAGAAGATCAACATCATCAGGCCAGGACTCTGTGGTCTACACTCATCTCCAGGCCAGCGGTCACTCTTTCAGGGATGAAGATGTGCACATCCTGGATAGAGAGGAACGATGGTTTGAGAGAGGAGTAAAGGAGGCCATCTTTGTGAAAAGAAATCGTCCATCATTAAACAGGGGTGGAGGCCTCCGGGTTCAACTGTCCCCCTCTTACAATGCTGTGATTGCTAGTATCACTCAGCCCTCTGTGAGTAGTAAACAGCCATCAGTGTGCTAATGATCCATTAATGGTCCTTCTTGAGCATGTGATCAGCTGGTTTTGGTTGTCAGCAGCAAAACTGGTTGATCCACTCTGAGAAGGTGCTATTTAAGAGACTGAGCTGAATACAGCACCTCAGACTGAGGAAGTCTTTCGGATGAAAGACAAAACATTTCTACATTTTTTTGTTTTGCTTTGTTTTGTTTTTTGAATGTCCAGAGGACCAGATTGAACTTTTTTAGATTTTTCTACCTGGATTATTGAGCATGCATCAGGATATTAACTCTTTAACTATTCTGTATTGGCAAGTATCCAAACTGAAGTAGCGTACTTGTACTGGGTCTGAAAAAACTAGTATTGGGACACCCCTAGTTGTCATGACAGCTACTTTAGTTACATATATATATATATATATATATATATATATATATATATATATATATA